TTTAAATGTTACATTTTTGTTGCTGACTGTAATATTTGTTGTTATATCGTCAGGACATTCAATTGATGCTTCAACATGATGAATGTATAATTCTGCAACGTTGAGGTTGACTTCCTTTTGATCAACTTGGTCTACACGATTAGTATTAAAGCGTTAGTTTTCGATCTGCATACTTTAGCAAAATGGTTTAGTTTTCCACATGCTGTGCACTTTAGGCCATATGCTGGGCAAAACGAAGTAGAATGTTGTGATCCACAGTAGTAGCAAGATTTTTGTGAAGGTCTATCAATCTTTAGGGAGTTGAAATTAGGTCTGTCTCCATGTTTATTTATAGAATCTGCCTGGATTCTATTTTCGAGGGCTTTTAATTGTGTTTTTGATGTTTCATATGCTCTCATGTAACTGATTGTTTTCTTTAGAGTAAGCTCAGTGTCTCTAAGTAGTCGTTCTCTGGCAGCTTTAGAGTCGATTGCACAGACTACTCTGTCACGTATTAGGCTTTTTTCGAGGATTCTAAACTCGCACGTTTTAGCTTTATTTCGTAAATTAATTAAGAAGTCAGAAAATAGTCTGCTGTCTTGCATACATGTATTGAATAAATAACGCTCATAAGTTGTATATTTTTTTTGGGCTGAAATAACATTCAAACTTTTGAATTAAAGGTATTAATTTATCGTTTTCTTCGATAGTGAAAACAAATGTATAATATACTCTTTAAGCGTATTTGTCAATCATATGAAGGAAAATGGCACATTGCATATCTTCTTTCTTGTCATTGACTCCTGAAGCTATTTTATAAAGATTCCACCTCTGCTTCCATTTTCGCCAGTTTTCTGAAACATTGCCATTTAAATTCATGGGCTCTAATGGTCAAGTTGTTCCATTTTATTTGAAACATAGATTTACTTCTGGTACCATGTAATATTCTGAGGATAATGTTATACTAAGAATTAAATACAACATAAAGTTTAAAGCATACAAACCGCCATATTTATTTCAAGTAATGATAATAACACGAGGAATGTGTGTATTATGCCGAACACGGATATTACACAGATCATAATGTTTTTCTTTTTTTCTGCAGCTTATTAGGACTAGGTACCTGAGCACATTAATAACATAAGCATCTTAACCCTTACACATACACAAAAAATTTCCTCCGTTTTTGAGGATGTTTTTAGAATTTGTAGCTTTTCTAAAAATATTTTTACTTTTTAAAGTGTATAATATGATTACATATGTTTGAATATAATTTTTTATTTTTAAATAAGCATTAAATTTAAAAAAAGATAAGTTGCTAATGGTAGGAATCGAATTACAGCTCTTTTCGTTCAGAAGGTCTGAGTGCAAGCGACTCGTCCACGCTGGCAAATTGACTAACACAATTTTAAAACTATATAAAAAAAATTTTTAACGAATAATAATTTTATAGATCGAAATTACAGATATGCTGCCGCAATGCAATTTTTAAGTGAAAGTAAATTTAAATGAAGATTACTGCGCAGGAAAGCATTAATAAGAAAAGATCTAATAAAGCAAATGAAAAAGGAACATGAGCTTGACAAGTTTGTGATAATATCTTACGATAAACTTATCGATCGTGAGTGGATTCAAAATTAACAAGTAAATAATGTTTTTTATTTATAATTGTTACCCAATTTTTAATTTTTGAATTAAATATAAATAGATTATTTAGGAACAATTTTGATAATAGTGCTTTTAACAAAATTAACGTGAATAATATTGAACCTTTTCTAGTAAATAAATATACACCGTAAAAAAGTCAATCACACATGGATTATAATTTTATAATGATGAGGATGGATTTATTTCTGTAGTTCAGATATGCCAAGTTTTACTCCTGACGTAAATTCAACTGCATTAACTATTCTATACCTTAATATTCGGAGTCTTCACAAACATTTTGAAAAATTAAAACAACTTTTATTTACTGTCAAAATAAACTTTCAAATTATTTGTCTAACCAAAACATTATGCCGTGATAAAGAAATGGAAAAAAATTGTGATTTTTAACTTAATAATTATAAAAATTTTCATCAAATTAGAGACTCTAACAAAAAGGTGGAGAATGGTAAACTTTTATTTACAACTCTTTAGATTTCAAACAACGCAAAAATTATTTTGCTGTTACGTATGATTTTGAATTGTTATGAATTGAAAATATAAACAAAACTTGCAAGAACGCAGTTGTACACGTTATATACATACCTCCTTCTTGTAATAAAAAAGCATTTAATAATATGATTACATATGCGAAAAATTCTACGGCAAATGCGTTTGAAGGCGATCTGAATTTGCTTGAATACAACAAAAACAAAGACGTCAAAACTTTTTTTAATATTATGTTTCAAATTGGATTTATTTCAACTTTAACTAAACCTACTCGAATTACAAAAAATAAAAAACATTACTGCTACTTTAATAGATCAAATTGTAATTAAAAAATTAAAAAAAAAAAAAATGTCAACACTGGAATATTTATTAAAGACATATCTGACCATTTTCCGGTTTTTATAACAGTACAATGATCATTAAATCAACTTTCTAAGAATTTAAAAACTAAAAAACGATTATTTTAGGACGCTTCTCTTGTGACATAAATAAGCCTTTTATTGACAACAAACTGGGAATCTGTTTTGAAAACAAAAACTTTTAATGAAACTTATGATAAATATTTTCATACAATTGCATGTGACTACAATAAAGCATTTCCAATAATAATTATATTTATTAAGACAAAAACCCTATAAAATCCCTGAATAACACGCGAAAAAAACAAATATTTTGTATAAAAGATTGTATTACTTTATAGATGTAAACAATATTCTCTATAGAAAGCAATAATGGTTTTAATGGAGCCACTCTACTTATCAGGCTAGTGTTCCTCTTGTGCATGAAATCATTAAATCATTTTATAAAAATAAATATTCATTATAGTATATTTATTAATATCAGTAAAGCTTTTAACACTGTTGATCATTACAAAAAAATAAAAAACTATGGTATTAAACATGTAAATATTCCGTGGCTATTTGTGAAATAGAAAACAATACATTATTTATAATGAAGATAAAACGACCAATATGAATATAACATGCGGTGTTATTCAGGGCTCTATATAAAGACCTCTCCTATTTTTTTTTTTTTTTTTAATGATTTAACCAAAGCTTGTACTGAACTAGTTACAATTTATTTGCAGATGACACAAATCTATTTTATGCACATAAGGATATAAATATTCTGTTTAAATCAGGAAACAAAGAGCTAATAAATCTTACTGAATAGCTTAATGCAAACAAACTAACTTTACATTTAACCAAATCAAAGTATACTTTTTTTTATAGTTTTTATGAACGATATAAAATTCCTATAAAACTTCCAAAACTTTGTATTGCCAATTAAGACAAAAAAAACGAAGCCACTTTAAAGTTCTCAGCATGCTTCTGGGACGTTGAGAGATCAGATACAATATCTTAAAAGCACAATCTCAAGGAACATTGGCCTGCTTTGCAGCGTTATGCCTTTTTTAAATCTTAAATCAGCCCTGCGCCTTTTTTAAATCCAACTTGCTTAAAGCTTATATATTTTTTCGTTCCTTCATGGCCTTCGTAAACATGGCCAACATTGCTTGGTGCAACACAAATAAAAATAAAAATCTATTTAGTAATCAATTGCATTCAATCAGAATCTATTACAATGTAGACCGTTATAGGCAGTTTCAAGTATTATTTGCTAATTCAAATATAGTTAATGTTTATCAATTAAACGTCTATCGAATCCTTATATTTGTGCTCAAAATTAAAAAATAAATCTCCTAAAAAATGTTACCCATTATTCAAAATAAATTATAATAGATATGTAACCAGATTTTCGAGTAAAAGTTATATTCAACCCAAAAGTTATTTTTCGGCGATTGAATTTTCAATTTTAACTTGAGGGCCAAAGTTATGAAATAAAATATTAACTATTAAACTTAAAACACTTGCTAGGCTTAATGAGTTTAAGAGAAAACTGAAGCAAAAACTTCTGATAAGCAATGTTTTTTTATGAAGTTTTAGTGATTGCTACTGTTAAATTTACGCAATAACTAGAAGTTTGTCATTATCGGAATAAAGATCTCAGAAAAGAATTGTGCCACTTGTTATTGATTTATTTCTTTTTTTTTTTTTTATATTTATTTTTTTCAAAAAATTTAAAAAATTATTATATATAAGAATTACTCACATACTTCAAGTTATGTGCTGGTGTAAAAGCAAAGGTTCTTGAATATACAAATTTGCTTGCATGCTTTATAGAAATATAGTTTCTTTGTATTAACAACATTTTCCTTTAACTTTTCTTAACCAATATAAAATCAAAAATTTAAATTTGGATTGTAAATCTTAATTAAAGATGATTTAGCATCGCTTACTTTGAAATTTACCTACGTAAGATATTGAAACACACTTTTGTTCGCGTTTTCTTATAAAAATAGTACTACGACTCATTCTCGCCATTACCTCGTTTGCAATTGCTATTAAAGGTTCCGTGTCAAACACGTTTGGACGAACACTATTAACACTATCTGCGTTAATACGTTTGGCCAAAATAAAAAAAAGATAACAATAACAAAACTAAAAATAATAATGGAAACAATAATAATAATACAAACAATAAAAAAAAAAGTAATAATAATAATAAAATAGTAATAATAAATAATAATATTAATAATAAATAATAATACTAATAATAATATTAATAATAAGAAAATTACTAACAATAATAAAAATAATACTAACAAGAATAATAATAGTAATAGCAATAATAATAATATAAATGAAATCATTATTATAACTACTGATAAGAAAAATACACAAAACAATTTTGATGAAAATAATATTGACTATGGTAATATTAGCGATGATAAAAATAATATTAACAAAAGTAATAATAATATACATAAGTTAAAAATAAAAACCAATAAAAAAAAAAATACTTACGAATAAGTGTAATCAAACAAATTCTGTGTTTGTTTGATTTTTTTTCTTCTATTTTTATGAATTCTCAGCGCGACTAAAAGAGCGAGACTAACAACCAACATAGGAACTAAAATTGCAGCAGTAATGATATTCGC